CAGAACCAGTCTGGCCCATCCTCCCATGTTTCATGCGCTGGTGCTTCTTTTACACTGTCGTGCATGTAGGTTCTCCTGGGCTTCTTTCACGAGTGCTCAGTGTCTCACATTTGAAGACTTACATTGGTGTCCTTTCTTTTCAATCCATGTCTTTGACTTGGCTAGAAACATAGCAGAAGCTTCCACACGAGCAGATACAGCCAATCTAGTAATTTTTATATTTTTCAGTCTGTGATTTTTTTTTTTTTGTACCAGGGATGGAACTTGGGTCCTTTTGCTTGTAAGGCAGGTGCCAGAACCACTGAGCTAAATCCCCAACCCCTTTTCAGTTCAAACTTATAGTAATTTTTATTTTGTTTTTTGGTACCTGGGATCGAACTCTGGTCTTTGTGCTTGCGAGGCAGGCACTGGAAGCACTGAGCTAAATCCCCGGCCCAACTGACAGTAATTTTTATATTTTTCAGTCCAAACTGATTCCTGACTCTGTATAACCATCCTTTATTTGTTTTATGTAATTTATTCCAGGGGAACTTGCTAAGCCTTCTCACAGGCCTAATGTGTTCTGGGGCAACACATTGCTGCCAAAGGAAACACATTTTCTTTCTCCTTTGTCTTCTTCTATTTTTTTTGTTTGTACCAGGGGTCGAATTTGGGACCTTGTGATTTCCAGGCGGATGGCAGAACCATTGAGCTATATCCCCAGCCCTTGCAGTGTGAGATGTGATATAAACCTAGCATGAATTCTTTTCCTTTTTTTTTTTGTTTTTGTTTTTTGAGACAGGGTCACTATGTAGTTGAGATTGACCTGGAACTCACTGTGTAGCCCAGGCTGGTCTCAAACTCACAGCGATCCTCCTGCCTCAGCCTGACAGCCCAAGGACCAGTAATGGGGATGAAGTAGTTAAGTGAAATGGGAAAGTCCCAAATATGCAAAAGCAAGTCACAGAAAACCCAGTGACATATGTTGTAAGAAATGATAGGCCTGGGATTTAGCTCAGTGGTTCTGCCGCCTGCCGCCTGCCTCCCAAGCACAACGTCCAGAGTTCAATCCCCGGTACAAAAACAAAAACAAAAACAAAAATAAAAAAGGACTGATAGACAAAAAGAAAAAAAGAGAGGTGTCTGAACCCCAACACCACAAGAGGAAAAAAAAGACTGGCAACCACTACTGTCACCCTGTTACTACTCTGTTGGGTATCAATTTCAAGTGAATTGTTTGGGGTACTGGGGATCGAACTCGGGCCCTTGTGCTTGCAGGACAGGCAGCAGAACCACTGAGTCAAACCCCTGGCCCATTTTCAAATGAATTCTTAAAAAAAAAAATACAGTATTATCTCTCAGTTCACCAACACTTCTTTGGGCCAGGGATTTAGCTCAGTGGTTCTGCCACCTGCCTTGCAAGCACAAGGTCCTGAGTGTGATCCCCGGTACAAAAAAAATGTTTCTGCACCAAAAAATATTTTAGCCAGGAGTGGTGGCACATGCCTGTAATCCCAGCACTCAGGAAGTTGAGGCAGGAGGCACACCCCAAGTTTGAGGCCAGCCTGGGCTACATAGCAAGACCCTGCCTCAAAAATAAGTAAATAATCACAAAGTTGCCCAGCCCAGGCTTGAGATTTCTATCCTCCTGCCTCAGCCTCTCAGAGTGCTGAGTTTATAGGCATCCACCACTGCTCCCAGCTTCAAGAATTTCTTTTTTTTTTGTATGTGTGGTACCAGGGATCAAACTCAGGACCCTGCGCTTGCAAGGCAGGCACAGTGCCACTGAGTTAAATCCCTGGCAAGAATGTTTCTTTCTTTTTTTTTGTGATACTGGGGATAGAACTTGGGTCCTTGCACTTGTGAGGCAGGCTCTGGAACCACTGAGCTACATCCCCAGCCCTGTTGCTCCTTTTTTTTTTTTTTTTTTGGTACCAGGGATCGAACTCAGGACCTTGTTCTTGTGAGGCAGGCGGCGGAACCACTGAGCTAAATCCCCAGCCCTGAGAATGTTTTTTAAAAATAATTTTAATAACCACATGTGGTGGTGCACACCTGTGATCGCAGAACTTGAGAGGCTGAGGCAGGAGGATTGCTGTGAGTTTAAGGCCAGCCTTGGGCTACAAAGTGAGACCCTGCTTCAAAAAACAAAAATGCTTTTTTTTTTTTTTTTTGAATGTAACTCAATGGTAGTATTCCCCTCAGTTCAATCCCCCAGTACCAAAAAGTAAAAAAGAAAGTTAACAGGGCCAGAGATTTAGCTCAGTGGTTCTGGTGCCTGCCTCACCAGCGCAAGGACCCAACTTTGATCCCCGGTACCAAAGAAACCAACAACAAACAAACAAACAAAAAAGAAAGTTAACAAAAAAGAAAAAAAAAACCTTATCACAGGGGCATTTCATTTATTTATTTTATTTTTAATTTTATTAGTACACATTTGCAGGACATGCAGTTTATACTCATCTTGGTGATTACATGGTTACACGTACATATACAGCTTATTTCCTTTTTTAAAAAATCTCCTCCTTTCCTCCCCTTCCTTCTCTCCTCCAATTTTCCTATCCCATTTCTCATTTTTGTTGCCACTAATAATCTTAGCTCATATTATGGCATATAATGTGAACAAAACTTTAATGCTTAAAGATATAAATAAATATAATGTCCTGAAAGGGTTCTTTTAGAAAAGAATAGCAGGATATGGTAGTGCATGCCTGTGATCCCAGCACTCAGGAGGCTGAGGCAGGAGGATTACCCCCAAGTTTGAGCTACATAGTGAGTCCAGGGCCAGCCTGAGCTACATAGCAAGACCTTGTCTCAAAAATAAATAAATCCATTAATTATTAATTAATTTAAAAAAATTTTTTGGTACCAGAGATTGAACTTGGGACCTTACGCTTACGAGGCAGGCAGTGGCACCACTGAGCTAAATTCCTGGTCCTAGAATTAATTTTTTAAAATATTTGGGCTGAGATGTAGCTTAGTGGTTTGGAGCCCTAACACTAAAATAAAAATTCCTGGATGGTGAATATGGACTATGGGTCCTGTCTCTGAGTCTGTGGCCTGAAGGTTTTCTTTCTTGCAGGCACACGGGACTTTGCCTGTGCCCTGTACACATCCTGAAAACACCTTGTACTTCTTGGCATTAGTTAACAGTATCACACATACCTGAGTGTCACATGTGTTTTTCTGCCTCTCTGAATGAACTCAGGCTTCTTAGAGACCAAGTACTGCATCTAGTTTTGCCCTCATGGTGTCTTCCCCACAGCAGGTGCCCAGTATTTGTTAACTGAATGTGTAAGTGAAACAACAGCTAGAGGAGATGGGCTAGGCCTCTGGGTAGGAGACTCCATACCTTTCCAGAAGAGATTTTCAGGGAAGGGCAGCAGCAAAAGTCTGTCTCTGAAGGTCAGCGGATCCTCTCTAGCACATAAGGCCCCCAGCCTCTGTATCTAGGTACCTACCCCTCCATAACCTCAAGATAGACTCAGGGTGAGGTGTAGCTCCTGGGCTTTGGGGTCAAGTCCTACATTTCAGGGAACATGCCTCCATTTTCTCATCTGTCCAAAGGAGTTTAGAATAATGTCCACCTGGGGAAGGAGAGTCCCAGGGAAGAGAGCAAGTGCCTTAAAGACTTTGAAGGCAAGCGGGTTATGCTGTTGCATGTCTGTAATCCCAGCGCTCAGGAGGCTGAGGCAGGAGGATTGCCTGGAGTTCAAGGGTAGCCTAGGCTGTATAGTGTGTTTGAGATCTACCCGAACTACATAGCTACAACTACAAGACCCTCAAAAAAACAAAATCAAGGGCCAGAGATTTAGCTCAGTGATTCTGCTGCTTTCCTTGCAAGTGCAAGGTTCCAAGTTTGATCCCTGATACCAAAAAAAAACAAAACAAGCAAAAAACCAAAATCAAGGGGCTTGGGATTTAGCTTAGTGCCACTGTGTCTGCCATGCAAGCACAAGGTCCTGAGTTTGATCCCAGGACCCTCCCCTCCAAAAAACAAAAAGGGCAGGGGATTAAGGGCAGGGGAGTTAGCGCAGTGGTTCCATCGCCTGCCTTGTAAGCACCAGGACCCAAGTTCGATCTCTGGTACCAAAAAACAAAAAAACAAAAAACAAAAAACAAAAAAACTAAACAAAAAAAAGCAAAATGAACAAGCCCCAAATATAACTTAGTGAGACTCTGTCTCAAAATAAAAAATAAACAGGGCTGAAGATGCAGCTCAGTATGAAGGCCCTGGGTTCAACCCTCCAGTACCAGAAAAACAAAAACAAAAAATTTCCCCTCAGCCTCCTGCCCCTATCATGCTTCTCATTTTCACAGCCTTTTGAGTAAACTTGGATGGATTAGATTTTTCTACCCGAGAGGTTCTCAAAGCACAGTTCCTGTAAATTTGTGGGACTCCACATTGGGCCCTTGTGTTCAGAGACTGGGGGCAGGGCCCAGTAATTGGTATAGTACAGAGCCATCCAGGTGACTTTTCCTAGGGACTCTGAGTTTGAGACCGTCAGCTTTCCTCTGAGGTAAACTCTCAGACCAGTACGCTGGCCGGCTTGGTTTCCTTCCCTTTGCCCTGTGGGCTGATATCGGGTCCGGGTGCCACAGGTACTGGCTACAGGCTGGGGGTGTAGCTCAATGGTAGAACATTGGCCTTAAATGCGCAAAACCCTGGGCTCAGTCTTCAGCACCAACAAAAAATAAAATATAAATATAAATAAACACATG